TCTTTCTTGTTTGCTCGATTTAGTGCCTTGAAAGCTTTCTCAGGGTCCGTTTGTCTTTCTTGTTTGCTCGATTTAGTGCCTTGAAAACTTTCTCAGGGTCCGGTAATGCTTCGTACAATTCACCAGTTCTTGAGGAGTTTCTGGGCATGCACCTGTAACACACAATACTACAAATGTTAAAGTTTCAATATAATGAATTTCTAGTCGAGAAAGCTGACTAAACTAAGAATTCTAACAATTCTTTTAGCCGTAATTAATCACCGTTAAGTCCCCGACAACGGCGCCAAAATTTGATCACGCCCAACTATGCCTCCTAAGAGGTCTAGAGGTCGTTGCAAATATTATCCGGTTTACACGTTCGGAGTCGAATCCCACGGGGAATTAACCTATTAATGACAACCACTAGTTTCGCAAGAATTCAAATAATCAACTTTCAGAAATAATAAAAAATGGTTTGAGTGTTTATTAACGAAGGGCAAAGTTTTTAAATGCAGTAATTCATAACGAACAAAACAAATGCTGTAGACAAGATTTGGAAAAGTCTAGGGTTATGATTTTCCCCTATTGACGAAATCTCTTCCGCTACATTTCCTATAAACTCGCCTAGGTACTCTCTACCGATTGGAGTACTTTGGGTGTCGTAGCTCTCCTCAAGCAACTACCATAATTTACTAGACGTATTCTCTCGAACTATGCTAGCTGACACTAATTCACCGCTCACTACGATCGCACCAAGGTTTTATTATCTCTAATCCCGCCTTTAAATTCTCCGTATTGATTTCTCAAATACGTTAGGAGTGATGTTGTTCAACAACTACCTAAATACGTACTCTCTCTCGAGCAGTACACACTAAATAGGCACAGTTAATTGAGAGCTCTTCAATCAATCAACAACAAAAATATATTTGAACAATTAGAGAAAGATCAACGGCAAATTTATAGTAAACGTAGTGGAAAATCATCATTCAATAGGTTCCATCAAACCCTAGATGAGAGAGTTTAGCCACTCATAAATGTATAAACAATCATCATGATGTTCAAAGACATTAAACTACAAAGTAAAGAGATAAACAGAGGGAAAACTCGTTTGATTCTTGCTCCACAGTGCTCTGTAGTCTTTTTCTTCTCCAAAATAATGTCCAACCCTTTCTCAACTCGTGTAGGGAGTATTTATATGTTAGGGCCGAAGTCCTTGAGTCCAAATGCGGGTTGGAGCCTTTTAATCCGTGACTTTTGATCACCGGGCTATAGACCTCGCGAGGTCATGCTTATAGCGCGGTCAGCCTGGCTACGCCTGGCCTGCAGCACGGTCAAGCTGGCTATGCTTGGCTTATGACACGGTAAAGCGGGCTACGGTTGGCCTCAGTGATTAAAAAAGCGCTCGCTTCCTCGCTTTAAGCGAGAAGCGAGGCGGAGCGTGCAGGTCGTCGCTTCAGGTAAGAAAAGCGATCGCTTCTCGGTAAAAAGCGAGAAGCGGTGAAGCGAGAAGAAGCGTCCGCTTCTTTGTTTAAAATACCCGAGCCCTATTTTATTAAAAAACGCGGTTTCACAACACTGTCTGGACTTCTTCAACAGCAGCAGCGAGAGTACGATTTCTTCTTCTCTTCATCATCTACTTCTGATTTCTGAAATAATCTCAAAGCATCAACTAGGGTTCTTCTTCTTCTTCTTATTCTTTTTCTTTTTCTTTCTAAACGTCCAAAAAGCGTTGAAATGCTGGCGATTTTTTTTTTACCTTCAGTTCTTTATCAGAAAATTTCTGCCAAGTTTTTCCAGTTTCTGCCCAATTACATGTGTTGTCTATGCAATATTTATTTAAATTTTTTTTTTAAATTCTGCTTCACTTCAAAAAAGCGAGCGCTTCGCTTCTCGCTTCTCGTGAAATGGGGGTTGTTGCTTTTCTCACTTCACGCTCTTCACAACACTGGTTGGCCTGTAGCCAGGGCTTGGGTACTTGGTGTTTTTGTGCTCTTTTCTTGCATTTTTGTCCTCTTTTCGTGCAATTTTCATTCGGCTCTTTTTTGCGATGCTCCTACATAAAACAACATAATTTAGCTCAAATGTCGCTCAATTAATCACTAAACCAACAAAATATAGGGCGGGTAATGTACTAAAAATATAGCATTTTGGCCAAACATCAGTCGGATTAGTCATAACTTTTCTATCGAAAATAGAAAATTGACTTAACTAATTGATGTACATTTGAAACAATAAGGTCATTTGTATGTTTAACTGGTGCAGGACCCTGAGAGTGAAAATGGTTATCGTTTGATTGGAGATGTTTGCTTCGAAGAAGCAGTCAAGATAGCTTCTAAAATTACCCCTGTGCCCGGAGGAGTAGGTCCTATGACAGTTGCAATGCTTCTTCAGAATACCCTTGAAGCTGCCAAGCGTGCTCTTCATTTTACTTGATTTAAGGTGGACGAATTCCTAAAAATCCTCACTTATTCCTCTCCATTAGAAATGTGGAGACGAAATGAATGATAACTAGCCTGAGTTTTACTCAACCTCTCCATTGTTGGACCTATGTCTGGTGGACGAGTTGCTGCCATTAATCAATCCTGACATATATTTGGAAGTTCTCAGTTCCCACATCAAGGAAGCAGCAGTACCGAATGAAAGTAGCAGCTTCAGTATTTGGGATGCCGCGCCAGAGATAATGACACTGGAGGCCTAGCGAATAGCGCTAACAAATTGACGTGTGGTTTCCATAATGCAGAAAGTTCTCTTGTATAACTAGCTATATTTGTGTCAACTGATTTGCTTCTTCAAGGTTCCTTTTTCTCTCCTTAAGGTTGACCTTTTAAAAGTACACAAGCATATATTTTTAGTAAAGAACTTTTGAAAATGTAATAGGAAATTTAGAAATGATGCAACATGCATACTGTGAGGTGGATTTGATGGGAAACAAAGGCTTTCTGCAATGTTCCCTTATTTGCTAGAAATTGATACTTTTTCCTTCAAATTTTTTAAAGGTTGCGCTATTTGTTACTTAAATAAATGTTGTACTCTTTAGTCTTTATCATTCATTATTACCTAGATAACTAATTTTCGGTAAAATCAACAATGAACAGCAAATAATATAGGTAATAAACTAGCAACGAAGGTGTATAAATGAATTTATCAAATGTATGAATAAATTCTTTGCACCAGTTGGAAAATGTACCATTTTTTTTTTTGGATTTCAACTACACAAATCACAATTCATTTTGTTAAACTCTGTTTAAATGATACTTGCAAACATGTCATTTTGAATGCCCCTATTTGAATTTATCTCAAACGACACTTAAACACATGTCATTTAGACTATTAAAATTTTGATATTTCAACATATGAAATCTCATCTTATGTTCAAGGATATCTCAGTCCAAACAATAAGGCAGCGTTTTAAGGAGCAACATCTTCACAAAATGAAGTTGCTTTCTAATACTTGGTCTTTTTTCAAAATCATGTTATTTTGTTTTGTAAAAAGTTGAAATTTTGTTTGAAATTAACGATGTGTTAGAGAAGATATTCCTCCCCTCCAATAAAAATAAAGCTCTCGTTGAACTTACAAAAGACTCACAAATCTTTCACAAAACAACTTTAAAACAACATTTCAACTCTCATAATTATTTTTTTCCCGAAGAATCTTTGAAAGAACTTTCCACAGTTTTGTCCAATTGGCTTCTAAAATTAGGATGGAAGGAGCGAAAATGGTAAGAAGTAAGAACTTAAAACAAGAAAACCTAATATTAGAAACGGGAAAATGGTTAAATATATCCCTGTACTATCAAAAATAGTTTAAATTATCTTTCCTTATAGGTAGAATACATAGCTTACCCATCGACCTTGCATCCGAATCCCTATTACACACCTCTCTACCACGGGCAACCTTTTACACACCTAACCTTTGTCGAGTGTGTCTAAGACACATCACTTTTTTCTTCACCAGATTTTCAAAGCATGTGTATTGTCACACGCCAATAAAGTCGTGACACGTGTCACTGACTAATAATAAAAAGATAGCACATAAAATTATATTATATCCATATATTCTTCATCTTGCCCACCATAACTGCCATCACCATACTTTCAATTTCTTGCTCTTTCGATTTCCACAACTAAAGCAGCAAGATAGTAATAATAAACAGGAATGTGCATTTTTTAGCGAAGAAGATTAGGAATTTTACAATTTAATTATTTATAAATTTACCCATTAACAAATTTAAAGAATATGCTTATTTGCAAAAGCTTGAGGTAAGCTTTAATGGTTGGAGTTATTTTTGAAAAATTCACCCTTTCAAAAAATTTAACTTAACCATGACAAAAGCTCAAGCTAAGCTTTTCTAGAAAAGAAAAGAATTTTCTGTACATACACTTGAGCCAAGCTTTAATGGTTGGTGGAGTTACAAAGAGTTTAATGGTTGAATTCTAATTATAATTTCTTAACAAAGAAATCTACAAAACTAAAGACTAATGATCAACAAGAAGAGATATGAAAAATCTTAGTGGATGTGGAGAGAAGTGGGTCTAATTAAGTGTCAAGAAGTAGCCATGGTAGGTTTGGTGATTTTTAAACAAGGAAGAAGATGACCCTATTTTAAAAAAAATTAAACAAAACTAAAAAACCGACATCTGATACAAAAATTCTCCCGTTCACGCGCTTTATTTGATGGTAAAGATACGCAGGCAAAGTGGCGTGTCTTAGACACACTCTACAAAGGTTGGGTGTGTAAAAGGTTGCCCGTGGAGGAGAACTGTGTAAGAGAGATTTGAGTTGAAGGTCAATGGGTAAACTATATATTTCGCCTTCCTTATATTATTTGGTCATTTCAAACTCTACCGTTATACTATAGAACAAATATATCCTTATTTTAGATGGAATGCCACGTGGCTGCACCACATTAAATCAGCCCATTCCATTTTTTAACCCGATTCATTTCAAGAAAACCACTATCCGATCCAAAATCAAAAGTCCAGTCATGTAGTTCAAGCAACACATTGCAAAAGGCCAAAAATGGTGTAGAACTCATACTAGTTTACTTTTAAATATGTTTTTTTCAACCATCTAAATCTATGGATTTGAGATTTATGGCAGTATTCATAAAAACTTTTCTGCCTTTAACCTAGAGCATCGGAATCTGCTAAGCAATGTCTCGCCGGAGCAGTGTAAATAAAGGACGAGGCAGCAATGCAGGGTCAGAAGCCGTTGGAGGTTCGCCGAAGCTGTAAAAAATGGATGGTTGGAGTTTTAACTATCTCTTTCGTCTCTGGATGTGATAAATAAAATAAAAATATAAAAAAAGAAAACAATGACTCACCGTAAAAATATATTCATGGTCAAATCCAGTAAAATCTCGACCCAAAACTTTAGATCTTTGACCTTTTGTCATATTTCTCCGGATCTGTGTATAAATATGTGTGTAGGTATAGAGAAAGGGGAAGAGAAAGTGCGAGGTGACAAATATGAAGATTCTCCATCGTTTTCGGCGAGTTCGCTGGTGGAAATTTCGGCCATGCTTATAACAGTGAGAAGGAAAAGAGGAGATAGCGATATTAGAGAAGCAATGGGGGTGGACTTTGGGTCGGACAATGGTTTTTTTGAAGTGAATCGGGTCAAAAGAAATGAGATTAGTCGATTTAATATGTGCCCAGATGTAAAAAAGACACGGATGAGTGCCACGTGTCCCCTCCGTCCAATTAAGGATACATTTGTTATGATAGTAAGCGGCAGGGAGTTTTATGATCCAATAGTATACCGGGGGACAACTTTAAATGAATTTTGAGAAATTTTTTCACTTTTTTTGGAATTTTACAATTCTTATGTCCAAACGCCCACTAAATCTGCAACCAGAAAACATTTAGATGCTAAACTATTAATTAACTAAAAGAAAATGAGCCAAAGTGTAAGCTTCTATTATTATACTTTTCCTCCTCCAGGTTCTTGTCAGCAAAACAGCAACCAAAAGAGTAGCGCAGCAATGGAAGTTGGTGAAGAGCATGAAGACAAAATGCAAAACCCTAACAATGGAGCAAAAGTAGCTGAAATAAACCTCAATCACACTTCAAATTCAAAGCCAAAAGTTGTAGTAATAATGGGAGCAACAGGTTCTGGCAAATCAAAACTTGCTATTGACTTGGCTTCATACTTCCCTATTGAAATCATCAACGCTGATTCTATGCAGGTATAGCTATTTTTTATACTCTTGAAAGTCCAATAATTTGTGTATTTACTTTTATCTTTGCTATTTTTTATCAGTCTTTTATCTCTGCAATTTTCTGGGATAGGTTTACAGTGGATTGGATGTTCTGACCAACAAGGTGACTTCCCAAGAGCAAAAAGGTGCTTTCTTTTTTGTTTAGTATAATTAATGATCCGTTAATGTTACGGTCTATTGCAAGGAATGAGACTTGAGTCCCACGTCCGTACTACAAATGTGGTGTTTATATATCCATGGGCTCTCACACCTTAATAGCTACCTTTTGGGGTGTGGTTCTCCCTGGATTGTATTAATGGTATCAGAGCTACCCACCACCATCTGTGCCAATCGTGCCTTGGATGGTGACGCCACTATTGCAGTGTTCGCCGGGGGCTAGAAATGTCTAGCGCGAAACGTGGTGGTTTGTTATGAGTCCCACATAGTGCTGATGTGGGATTTATATAGCCTTGGGCTCTCCCACCTTGATAACTAGCTTTTGGGGTGTGGTTCTCCCTGGTTGTATCATTTAATTTGATGTGCCAATGTTTGAATGTACATGAACTCTAAGCAAGAAAAAGAGACAGTTGACATATAAGTGATGGGTCCATCCCGAGCCCCATGTGAAAGGAAGACAATCTTCCTTTGGCTTGAATTGTCAAGCCAACCAAATCAATAGTGAGCAAGATTTGGCAGTCAATCATTGCTCTCACTTCACAATATGGGATTTGACTTTTGTTTACATTGTGATGTCATTGATGACACCAAAAGGAGCGTTTCTAACACTATAAATAGAGAGTTCCTGGCTCATTGTAAGATACACCAAACATAGAAAGTATGAGAGCAATTCACAGAGTAAGAAAAAAAATGCTATGAGAGGAAAATAGAGAGTTTGAGCGGTATTGTAGTGATGTGGTAAAATCAAAAGAAGAATTATTTCTTTTGAGTGCATAGTGGTCTTGGAGTATTTTACTCTGTACCACAAATTGTAAAATGCTTGCCACAATGAAATCAATTGCTCCTCTTGGGCCGTGGTTTGTCCCTTATTCAGAAGGGGTTTTCATGTAAAATTTCGGTGTCCTTATTTCTCTTTTTATTGTTGTTGGTTACTGTATTTTAGTTATCCGTATTTATTACAGTCGTATACCATGAATATTATTTCTGTGGGGGTTATTTTCCAAACAATTGGTATCTAAGCAAAAGTTCTGCTCATTCACAGAAATTATTTACTGTCGATTTTACTCCGTGACAAAAAAATTATCAGGAGTAAAATATGAAGTAAAAAGATTCAATGGTAATCCATATGGCAAAGAAGGACAAAAGACCTACTTATCCAACAGGGGTTAGACATTGCATTAGATGGCAAAGAAACAAAGCCCGAAACCATGAAAGTTGAGGATTGGGCCGCCATGGATAAGAAGGCGGCTAGTGCAATAAGATGAAGTTCTCAATAATGTCGGCGACAGGAATAGTGCATGTAGTATTTGGAAAAGACTAGAAAGTTTATACATGTCCAAATCTTTAACAAACAAGTTATTTTTGAGAAAGCAACTTTATGCCATTCATATCAGTGAAGGTACAAATTTCTTGTCCCATTTAAATAATGGAATAATGGATTAGTCACATAGCTAGCAAACCTCGGAGAAAAAATCACTGAAGTAGATAAGGGCATCTTGCTTCTAAACACGTTGCCATCTTTCTATGATATCTTGGCAACAACCATGTTACATGGTAGAGATATCATCGAGTTAAAAGAGGTCACATTAGCCATCCTACTCATTGATAAGATGGAAGAAGCCTGAAAACCAGAGACATGCTCTTATCATGGAAAACAGAGAAAAATGTCTTTATAGAGCTTTGGCTAGCCGTGATAAATCCAAAGGTCGTGAAAACTGAAAAGTCTAGGAACCGATCAAAAGCTAGAAATTGCTACAGTTGCTGTCAACCCGGTCACTTCAAAAGAGATTGCCCAAATAAAGGTAAGGAGCAGTGACCAGAAGAATGATGTCAACATAATTGCTGTAGTGCACAACGATGATTCGGTGGTTCTCTTCGTTCACGAGGAGGAATGCATGCACTTAGCAAGCTAAGAGTCAGAATGGGTGGTTGACACGACAACATCCTACCATGCCACACGGGTAAGAGAATTCTTCTGTAGGTACAAAGTAGGAGATTTTGGGATGGTCAAGATAGGAAATACCAGTCACTCAAAGAGGGGATTGGTGACATTTGTATCAAGACAAATGTTGGATACACATTAGTTCTAAAAGATGTGCGGCACGTACCAGATCTGCGAATGAATTTGATTTCAGGAATCGCTCTAGATCGAGACGGGTATGGGAATTACTTCGCCAATACGAAGTGGAGGCTTACCAAAGGATCATATTGCTCCATGCCCGTTGTACAAGACAACTGCTGAGATAGAAGGTGGATTACTTTTGGTTTTAGATGACACCCTGCTGATCTATGGCACCAGAGATTAGGCCATATGAGTGAGAAGGGATTGCATATCCTAGCCAAGAAGTCACTTATTTCCTTTTCAAAATGTACAACTGTGAGTGCTGTGATTATTGTTTATTCAAAAAATAACATATTCAAGCAATTCATGGAAGAAAGTCGAATATACTTGATTTAGTATATTCTGATGTTTGTGGTCCAATGAATGGAGAATCAATGGGAGGTAACAAATATTTTCTTACATTTATTGATGATGCTTCACGGAAATTGTGGGTTTATTTCTTGAGAACAAACGACCAGGGATCGCTCCAAGACCACTACACATTCAAAAAAATTAACCTTCTTTTGATTTTTCTACATTGCTATAATACTGCTCAAACTCTCTCTTATATTTTTCTTCACAGAGTTTTTCTTTTTACTATGTGAATTGCACTCTTACTCTCTTTGCTTTGGTGTGTCCGACAAATGAGCCAGGAGCTCTCTATTTATAGTGTTAGAAAGGCTTCTCTCGATGTCATCAATGACATCACAATATAAGCAAAAGTCAAATGCCATATTGTGAATTCAGAGCGTTGCCAAATATTTTTCACTGTTGATTTGGTTGGCTTGACAATTCAAGCCAAAAGAAGATTGTCTTCCTTTCACATGGGTCATGGGATGGACCATCAAATTATACTACATAATATGCCAAAACTAACCTCTATTTTTAATGTTAAAAAGGAATTAATATTTAAGAGTTTTCCGATGTCTTTTTGGAATGGACCAAAAAAGAAAGGTGCTACATAAAATGGAACGGAGTACTATTCTGTTGTGTAACTTTGTGCATATTGCATCAAGTATCTAATTTTTGTTTTTGGGTGGTTGTGACAGGAGTTCCTCATCATCTTCTTGGTACTATCAACCCTAGTGTTGAATTTACTGCAAAGGATTTTCGTGACTCAGTTTTCCCTGTGAGGCCTCTTTTCCCGGTTTTTAATCTCAATCTTGTACATAAGGGATTACACACATATGGACACACACAAATATATAGAGATTTATTAGAATGTCCATGGGCATTGGATGATGTAGTTCTGATAATGCAAGTCACCACCAAATCTGCATCTTCAATAACGGCTCTAGTGCTTATTTCTTTGTTTGAAATGGGTAAATATGGTGTTACCTTTTGCTTAAATGACAACAAAGAACCTATTAGTGCTTGAAGTTTATTCCGATATTCATTAACCTTTTGAAGCCTCTAGTCTAGGCACTAGGATGATCAGTTATTTGTTCCATTGAAGAAGTATCACCTTCTTCTTGGGAGCCTCTTCGTTTACCCGGAAGTTTGAATTCTGCGGTATAGAATGCTGTAATAATAGTTGTGCCATGAGTTACTCTTTTAAGTATTGCAAAAGGAAGGGCACACTGATGTTCTTAACGAGGAGGCTGTAATTGTTGTCAGGTCAGACAGAGGCCTGACCTGGCCCACTTAATAAACCCCTAAAATTTTGAGTATACCTTTCGTTAATCTTCTTTTGGTATAAGGTGACAATAACTATTTCAATTAATTATAGAAAACAATTAGTCATAAACCTTTTGAAGATATTTCTTCTAGTAAAGAGTGAATCTGAATTATGTTATCATTTCAAAAAAAAAGAGTGAATCTGAATTGTATGAGTATACTCCAATTTCTGGCTAATTAGATAACAAAGAATCTCCTTTTAGCCATTAAGTTTGCTGTATTGAGGGGTGGTGGTGGCAGCACGGATGAATTGAATATCTACATCTATTTGCATGTACTAAGGATTTCTCTGTCTATTGTTTCTCTCCTGATACAAGGTGAAATTGTGAAAAGAATGGATGCAGTCAGTCCCCTCCTCTCCACAGTTTCAATGACCAACTACTTTGGAGCACACATCTTACTTCTTTGACTAGGCATAACTAACCTGTCTTTCCTTATAGCAATTTTGATTAGTGTCTCTGAGCCATCTTGTCTAGGAAAATCTGAAGAAAGCTCTTGAAACGTATATTCCCATCAACAGACGTATCTCTCTACTACTCTTTCTGCTAATGTGTTTCTTATTTTATTTGTATTTTCAGATCATAAGTGATATATGGTCCCGCAATAGGTTGCCAGTTATAGTTGGAGGAACAAATTATTATATTCAGGTATTCTTTTACACTTTTCCACTCTCCAGTTTTTTGCTTGTGTGCATGGAGTCTATCATGATAGAGATCTCCAAAGACACTAGGACCAAAATGACATATCATTACATAAGTTGGCTACCTCAATAGTCTGATTAATCAGAAACTTACTTTTCTCCAGAATGTTTCACAGGGTTAGTTATAGAGTTAGCTTTGGTGAGTGCTGCACTTAACTACTATTAGCATCTGTCTCTTATATTATGAGCTGCTGACAAGCGCAAACCACTGTATATAAATTTAAAGCTCGTTAGTCAAAGATAGTATAGAAAATTATCGTCTCCACAGGGATTGGTTTAAACAATGTTCTAGTAATTTAAGGCTTAACACTATTCAGGAGAAATAAACCTTTGAATTGGGACGATTAATACTATAACTAACAAACTAAAATTAGAAATAAGTCGAATTGATCACAGGAAACTGAGAATTGAGCTACGACGGTTAACTATCAATATGAGAAGGAAGGGTCATAACAAGATAGGTGCAAGATTGCTATTCAGGAACTAACTCTGTTTAATTTCACTTTTAAGGTTCTATTGATTTTCACGAATTCAATCGGATTCTGGTTCCTCTCTCAATTAAAACCTAAGCCGTTCAAATAAGCTAATGTAAAATGTAGAGAAAATATGCAAGCATCTCGTTGGTAGGAATGGTCTAAGAAAAATTTCTCGCAAATATTTCTCAATCTTAATTCAAACGGCAAATCACAAAACTCTTTCGATTACCTTAAAAATCACCAAGGTAAATTAAGGCATACATTGCAACAATATTCAATAAAATGTTCCTTTTTGATTAAACAAGATAAGAATAAAATCACAACTAAGATTAAAGCTCCTCCAACTAATTCAAGCAATTAAACACGAGATAAATTCATGAACAACTAAGTCACCAAATCATGTCAAACCCTAAGGTAAACTATTCCATAGATGTGGAGAAAGTTATTACAAAATAGTTAAGACACATAAAAATCATCCAAACCAACTTCACTATATAAACTCTCGTCTTGAATCGATCGTTGGTGAGAAAACTGATGAAAATCTTGTGTTTCTACTCCTTAGCCGCTCTCCAATAGCTTCCTAGGTCAAATCCCCCTTCAAAATTGTGTTTAGAAAGTATTTACACCGTGTAGGAATAGTCTTGGACCTAAATAACCTCAATGGGGCGAAATAAAACTATGCTGGGCCGAAATATTCCTGACACTATGTGTCACACGACATGTCAATGGAGATGTTCAGAAACCTTGAGCTTTTGGTCTAGTCAGACTCAAAGGGGACAGCCACCTAGTGGCCCACTACGTGTGGCACGCCATGCCTTTGGCACTTTACAGAGAAATGCAAAACTTTGCACGACGATTCCAATAGGCAACAACACCTTGGACATGACGTGTCCCATGTCGTGGCAATGCAAATCTCGGCCTTGAATATTTTTCTTTTATACATACATATCCGATCCTAGACCTCTGAACTCGATCCCGGTTTATCCTCGGACTTCTACTCAGACTTCAAAGTCTCATTTTATTCATTTTAGCTCCACAAACTTGTCTTAGCCCAGATTCTCAACCTACACAACAAAAAAGACGTAATTAGTATAAATTGTCCATAATTGAGCTCAAACACAATTGAAGTGTAGCAAATAATAGGTGAAGTAAAGCCAAAAATCTATATTTTTAGCCTACCATCAGCTGCTCCAATATCGGCAATATACTCGTGCATCAACTCTTTTTTTCTCTGTTTGAGGCTAGCAGCTAAATCTGTTGATTTTTCTTTGACTCGTGACTATTCAGTTTTTCCATTTTACTAAATTCTGTTTTTCAGTTCTCCCGAAATCTTCCTAACTGGTGTTGTTAGTTATCTTTTTCTTGATTTGATTTGTTTGCATTTAGGCTCTTGTGAGTCCATTCCTTCTTGATGATTCTGTTGAAGACCCAGAATCAAATTGCTTAAGCGACTCTCAAGGTAAGCAATTAGTTCTGTCTGTTTTTTTTGTCAACATTTATTTATTCAAAACCAAAGGATTATAGGTATGATTATTGTTAAAGAACAGGACTTTGGGCCTAACTCAACCCCAAAAGCTAGCTCATGAGGTGAGGATTGTTCAAGCCATATTAAGAGACCACCCATCCCTTAAAACTACGGATGTGGGACTCTTCACAATTTTCTCCTTTCTCTGCAGAAGATGAACAGCCTGATCTTGAAGTTGAATTTATGGGCGAGGATTATGATTGTGCTTACAACCATCTTAAAGATATTGATCCAGTTGCAGCTAACAGAATTCATCCAAATAATGATAGAAAGGTGTGGTTATGTTTGGCTTCATATGATCTCTAGTTTCTTTGCATGATGCAATGAGCTGAAAATCTTTTGGTTGGACAGGACTATTTACAATGAATTGCTTTGTTTATTCTAAAGATGTAACAACTACAATGACATTGATTTAACACAAATTGCTCTCTTATTCTAACATATCACAGCTACAACGGTTTTAGTTGAGACATTATATTGTTGGGTTTGATTATGCACGTTGCTTCAAGTTGCAAGCTGCAGATCCACTTACCTAGCTTTTCCCCAAAGTTATTTGCCATTGTTATGTGTTCCTAGGACTGAGTTGGTTTGTATTAAGAGTTCTCTGTCCTTGTATTCACCTTGAGCCTTTCTTGTGATTTCTAGTCTCTGACACTATATATTCAGAGTTATTATGTCAATGCTTCTTTATTTTGAGCAGATGGTTATTAGGGGTAGAATTGTTAAAAAGTAATTGCTTTTATCCTACAAAAGATACAATCTCTGAGGTGGAATAAGTAACAATGCTTCATAGAGACTTATGATTCCTATCTATTGTTAGAGGTTTCATTTGATATATCTGTTGCCATAAGCTGCAGATCAACCAATACCTGAATTTGTACGAACGATTTGGTGTTATTCCAAGCAAACTTCTTCAGGAGAGGACTGTAGAGGTGTGTTCTTCTTGTTCATTCGTTGGTTATATTAACATAATTTTCCATAAAGTTAATTGTGTTAATTTCTGATGATAGTAAGATTTGGATTTTGCAAATAGTTGTAATTGTTTTTGAGCTGCTACATGATGGAATCAGATTGCTTTAAAAAAAACATGATGGAATCAGATTGTTCCCTTTACTACGATACTCTTGAGAAAATATTTGCATTGAATTCTTTTGATAGAAAAATGGAATTTGGTGCACGGAACTCAAATATCCATGGATATACATGCATCAATCCATCATATTGGTTTCCCTGTCTACCAACCTTCTTTCAAGCCTTCACTTTGCTAAAGCTCAAATATTTGTCAGTTTAAGATTCTCTTGCTTTTACGTTCTTCCATTCTTCCATCTGTTTATCTTGATACTACTGGAAATCATTGCAGTGCCATGTTTCATGTAAGAAATACTAGTAGTCCATACAACAAAATGGTCGAAAGAGATTCCATTTATACTTAATAAGCAGAAACATGATATTTGTTTTAAGATTAATTATCGAAACGAGAAGAGAAATTAGGAATACTCATTGTTAATGGTTATAGGAGGATAATCCACATTATTAATAAAATGCACAGCTGGATCACTATAAAGGGAGCATGCTTAACTCAAGACAATCTCATCAGGCGGAATTTTCAACTACCTAACAGATGTTACATGTGCCTTTGCAACCCAGAGACAATTAGTCACCTCATTGCCCAGATGCAACAAGCATGTGGAACATGTTTTTTGTCACTTTTTGGACTGCACTGGACTATGCTAGTCAGGGAGGCCTTCTTGAGTTGGAATGCCTCGAGAGTTGGGAAGTCCATCAAAAGGATATGGTCTATGATTCCTGCTTGTATTTTGTGGTGTCTATGGACAGAAAGGAATCAAAGATGTTTTGATGGCATTTCAACTGCCAGCCATGCGCTCAAGGCCAAATGTCTAGTTAATCTTTTTAGCTGGGTTAATTCTACCCCTGTATATAACCCTGACTCTTATTTGGAATTTATCATCACTTTAGTATTACAATAATTATTTTGTCATTGGGCTGATAATTCTCTTTCTTTTGTAATCTATGCATCCTCTGGAAGCTTCTTGTTAATGGCATCCCACTTATTTCATCCAATAAAAACAAAAAAAAAATGCACAAACTACTGTAAGACATTTACATATGCCCATTCGTCTGTCAAAAGAATTCTTGAGAAATTTTGACAGGCTCAATTTAGTTATCAAGGAGACTATGGGAACTAGCTATAGCCTGTTGATTGGTGATGTGTATTTCCATAGCATATCTCTTCATGCTATTTTGTTGCTTGTGGCAGGGCAGAACTGGGGCCAAGTTGATAATTCGAGATATGATTTCTGCTTCTTATGCGTGAATGCATCCCTTTCCACTATGGATCCATTTGTCAATAAAAGAGTTGATCACATGGTTGATGCTGGTCTACTTAAGGAAGTTTTTGACATCTATACACTGGATGCAGACTATACAAAAGGCTTGAGGCAGGCCATCGGTGTTAGGGAATTTGAGCCATTTCTTAGGCTTTACATACTGGAACATCAAAAACCTTGTGATGAGTCTTATGTTCAGACACTAAAAGATCAGACATTGGAACTGAATATACAGCATATCATGGATTCCTCCGACAATAATGAACAGAAAGCTATTTTAACTGAAGCAATTGAAAATGTCAAATTGAACACACGAAGACTAGTCCGACGTCAAGTAAGTACTATTTCCTTCTACGGTGGCTAGTTGTATGTTTAAACAAGGTATAACCAAGTAAAAAATGATTGTGTGGAAAACTCTCAGTTTTTTCAAGTTTGCCTCCATGGGGTGGGAATATCTGGAAGATATATAGCTTATCAAAGTTCATAAAAAGATGTAGACATGGAATTCTTATACTCTTCCCCTTCACGAGAGAGAGAAGCCTTTTTAAGTTATACTACAATCATTTAATACAAGACCGAGGAAGTACTTGCAAAATTTCGGGCTTTCAGTGCACTAGCTGCTAGTGATCCTGAGATTCTTTGAGTTAGACCTTTTTTTTTAGTCTAATGCTGATTGTCTAATTGTTCTCAGAGGAGAAGGCTTAATCGGCTGCAGATGCTGTTTGGTTGGAACATACATTATGTTGATGCCACAAAGTCCATTATAAGTATGTGATTTGGTTGTAAATTTACGTTGAAATTTGACTTCAATTTTATTGTCCTTTCTTCTTAGCAGGTACCTTGTTTTGGTTTTGGTTGTACTTGTGAACATCTGAATTTATTTTACACAGGTGGCTCTGATGATTTATGGGCAGTAGAAGTGGTCAAACCCTCTGCCGGCATAATCAAATCCTTTCTCACTGGGGAATCCAGTACAGAGAATGGCAGTAATGCTTCTGAAGAACTGAAGTTGATGCAAAAGGATCTCTGGACTCAGTATGTATGTGAGGTTAGTAATAGCTGCTACATTCCTTCCATGTCTTCTTTCTCAAAAAAAGATGAGTTAAAAGTAAAAATGAAGATAAACCCCACGTATCCAACTATTTGTAATTCAGTGATAATTGCCAATCATGCAACATGTATATAGTTTTCCTGATATACTTGCTTTATAATTATGATCACTTGTCAGCCATGCGGGAATAAGGTCCTGAGAGGCGAGCATGAATGGGAACAACATAGACAGGGCCGTCACCATCGAAAACGAGTTTCTCGCCTTAAAAAGACTGGAAGCTTGTGCTCGTGAAGCTATATGGATTCCTCCCCTGCTTCTAGCTCAGTTATTTATACTATTTAACTGCCATGTTAAGTATCTTCATAATATTATTTGTATCACATGTTTTAGCTGTCAAAAACGGTTGCAGTCATTCTGCTTACAGTCTCTTTTGTGATTGTGTCTGTTTCTCTAATCTGCTGATCAATTTTTCAGTCAAGTTAAATGAAGCAGGTCATTCAATTGTCTTGCAGAAAAGTTGTTTGTCATAGTTGCTTTTATTCTTTTAGACCGGCTCCAGATTTGCTTATCACCTTCTTTATTGGAGAGGGTTTAGACTATTTTCTGCTGCACAATTTTCTCACAGCCATTCCATTAAGTTAACGGATACATGTCTATGCAGAAATTAACGGGTCGTTTGGTTTGAAGACAAGTTATGTTAGGATTAGTTATGTTGGGATTAGTTATACTTAGATTAGTTTTCCTGGTATTATTTCTTATAGACTGTTTGTTATATTGTAGTAATCATGGGATTGTTAATTTTAGTGCTTTATCCTGGATTACTATTTTACCCTTTGGCAGGTATAAGTTATCCCGATATTATTTTTAATTCAGGGATCACTTATCCCTTGATTAATAACCAAACAAGGGATAAGACGGTACTAAATTCTTATCTCAGGATTACTTTTGCTTATCCATCATACCAAACGGTCCCTAATTGTTAATGCTGGTTGGATAATAGAAGAGCACACGTGTTTAACTAACAACTTGCATCATTAATTAGTTTGGTTAATCAGTTGGCAACAAGTAGGAGGTTTAGTTAATTTTCAGAGGAGTTACAGCTTGTGCTGGAGTGGTTGTATTTTTGGTTTTTCACTTGCTATTCGATATCTGTATTGGAACTTGACTAAATCCGTATTTGTGCCGGAAAATTTCACATTGGGGGTAAAGCATTTCCTAAAAGGCGATTTCATATATAAGGCTCGAACCCGAAACTCTAGTTAAGATAAAAGAGTACTTACAATTTCGCGACAACCCTTATGTGTAGCAAAGAGTGGTTGAGTTCTATAACATAGCTAACAATAGCCTCTATAAATCTGATTGTACAGTTAGCTTCAATCAATGAGAAATACAGTCACATTATGCTGTTTTCTCTAGTTCCGCTCTGTTCTTCATTTAAGCTAGGTCCCTAAGAAAACATTTCAGAAGAGTGTTGAATGAATCTAACTTTCCTTTTACAACATGGAAGGACTAGAAAATTTAGTCATTTATAACTATGTTTATCTCGGTAAAGCAAGGGTAATATTTAGTGTTTAACATAGCTCCTTCCGCTCGTAAAAGTTTTGAGGAAAGAGCCTACATCCTAAAATAGACAAACACAAAATGATTATATTTTTTTAACCTCTTCTAGAGTCCGGAACCTAAATGTGGTTCTTTTTAACTCCAGATATGTTTTTAAGTGTAAAAAAAAAAGTTACGTTTCTATATAAAATGCGATTATGAACCGCGTTTTACCTTAACGGCCGTTTGGACCGTTAAGGTAAAACGCGGTTTATAGAACGCTCTATCAGACCACGTTTTACACAAAGCTGATAAGACTGCTATATAAAACGCGGTCCATTACAGCGTTTTATATAAAGCGCGGTAATGGACCGCGTTTTATATACAAAAATAATATAACCCTTCCCTTTCTCCACGTTTCTGCCCAGTCCCCTTTCCCTTTCGATTTTTAAATAACAGCGGTCCCCCTCCCCCCTCCATTGACAACAAAAAAAGCTCGTGTGGACCCCACACGTCCCGTAAAAAGTAGATATTGTTGGTCCCACATCCTAGCCAAGCCTTCTATTGTTGTGGGTTGCTTGTTCCGGAGTCAAATTTTTAAATCTTCAACTTTCCGAAAAACATAAATCGAGGTATTTCGATTTAGTTTATGTCCAAACTCATATAACTAATGCATATTAGTTGTTTTGAATGTGTTGTATGTTGTTTTGTGTTTTTTTCCGATTAAATTGGTATGTTATTTTTCTTCGGACTAAGATATTAATGTTGTAAATAAATCTAATATAATTGTGAAATCGTTATTATTTGTTAATATAAATGTTAATAAAGTACTATTACTGTTTTATATGTATTTTTGTGATTACAATGTATTTGTTGTGTTTTATGTGGTTTAAATTATTTTTTTGCTTAAAAACTATTAATATAGTACCTTTTAGGGTAGTAAAATATAGTGCCTTTTAGCGGAGTATAATGTAGTGCCTTTTAGCGTAGTAAAATGTAGTGCCTTTTAGCGTAGTTTCCCTGTAGTTTAAGTATCTCTTATACTCAAAAATACGTCAAATAACTGATAGATCAAACACAAACTTTGTCCAATTTTAGTCAACATATATTTGGTGCTACTGGGCCGCAAATATCGAGCCTGGAACCCATATATGAATCTTTAATAATTAAATATTGTATAATTATAAAAATTAAATATTTAATTTATAAACTAACATGTAAAATAATAAAACTAACACATAGAATAAAATTGATGCTACTGGGCTCCAAATATGGAGCATGGAACCCATTTGTGAATATTTAATTATAAAAATTAAATATTTAATTTACAAACTAACATGTAAAATAATAAAACTAGCACATATAATAAAATTGGTGCTACTGGGCTCTAAAGATGGAGCCTGGAACCCATATGTGAATATTTAATTATAAAAATTAAATATTTAATTTACAAACTAACATGTGTCACACCTCCTTTTTACTCGAGGGGTATATAAGGGAGTTTTTCCAATTAAAGTGACATTAATCGAAATGAGATTATTTATTTAATTTGAGAGTCGCCACTTGGAATAGTTTATGGTGTCCCAAGTCACCGATTTATTTTAAATCCCAAAGCGAGGAACATTGACTCTGTTTAAAAGTCCATGAAATCAGAAGATCGGGTAAGGAATTCTGTTAACCTAAGAGAAGGTGCTGGGCATTCTCGGATTCTGTGGTTTTAGCACGGTCGCTCAACTATTAATAATTGGCCTAATTATCTGATTTAGTTCATGTTTTAAACCTATTGCATTTTTAACCTTTAACCGCTTTAAATATTTATGGACTTATTTCTAGAACAAGTTATGATTGTCGTACACTTGTTTGTTTTTGTACACATTGCGAATCATGTCACGGGAACCGTACCCACAATTTACAACATGTATATTTTATTATTGTTCGAAGTTGTGGTCGGATCACATGAAATGTGCACCCGAATTTGGGAATTATGTATCACGACCATGCTACGGGAACCGTACCCATAGCCACGATGATTTAATTACGCGCCTAAAGCAAACTACGATGTTCATATGATCATTTTCTAAGGTTTGAGATTATCGATTATGGACGTAGAAGCATTTGGAATACAAGAAGTTTTTAGCTATTTAGGGTAACTAGCAACTATTTCTTATGGACCCAAATGAGAGAAATGAGTCAACTAAATGTTTACAAAACTGGTCCAGTCGCAATTTTAAATGGGCTAGGCCTGTCGTGATTGTGCTTCAGAATGAAGAATCATAAAGCACACACTGTCTAACCCCGAATTTGTTCAAACGAGATTGAAATTCAAATAGGAAGATTATTGCACTCAAATTAAATTAATGATACTAGTATGATTTTTAACACTCTAAATTAAAATTACAATTACACTAACTTTAAAACAGGTTCATGGTCGGGGCCCAGTTATTGGGTTTAGCACCCAGGCCCAGGTGCCCGGGGTCCAGACTTGCTCAAATAATTCCCAATTGGGCCAATTTACAAGTCTGGCCCATCTCCTGTGATCCCCATTTAAATAATCTGGAAAGAGCGTGCCTTCAACTCGCGGATGGCTTACTGGATATAAAATTTATAGAGATAGTCTACTCCATAGCTATTAGTTGCAGTATTCAAATTCAAATATTATTACAAAATATTCCACACTAATTTTATACAAATGTTCATTAGTAAACAATCCCCAAATCTAAGTTACAGAAGAACTTAAATATGGCACTATGCTTAAATAAAAGAGACATCTGTTATATCAAAATAGCACCTAACATGATTCTCGACTCTTTCAATTGTTACAACTTTTCAAGTAGATCTTGAATTGCAAAGGCAGCTACAGAGCTGTTTGCAAGTCAGCATTTTGTTCCTTATACATCCAACGAGGACCCAAATAATTAAGAGTTTCCCTTCTCTTGTAAAACCCCAATCATGGAATAAAAATTTCATTATGAAGAAGGTTTATTAGCACAATACTTCAAAGGAGTAAAAAGAAAACAACAAATAGTGCCAATGAAAATGGTCAAACCATCACAACTCATGATGCAGGACCAAGCACAAGCATGACACAAAAATAGCAAATGTCATTTTAACAGAGCAGAATGGTCTGAAAATTCAGAGAAGCAGTTTCATAGCACCACACATTGAATAACAAATGAGAACTTAAAACAAGTATAAAGCTAACAGGTTGGATGCAATAAACACAAAACTAACAGGAACAAACATCATATTTCATTTATGAACATCAACATGAATGATCCTAGATGGAGATCTACATACCTATAGCAGCAAAATCAAAGTGAACAAAATGAGCCTCTGACTGAAGCTAGAAAGGAAACAACAACAAGAACAAGTAGCATAGCAGGAAATGAGCCAAAACCAAAGAACAACAGCTGACTTGAACTCTCCCCGGAATCAGAATAAAACAGTCCTCGAGTGAACCAGTTTAGAAACTTTAACAAAAGCTGATTTTTGAGAGCAAGAAAATGCAGGGAGCTTTTCCTTTTTCTTGTGTGTATTCAGAGAATTCTTTAGAGTGAATATGCTGATGAATGTCTGTGTGAGTGAGTGAGGGTCTATCCTTTGTATAGAATGCACAAAGATAAGCATAATAGGGAATATTCTACCCTAAAATTCAGAAATGTCAGATAGTACACCATCTTTTGACAGTCCTGGCACAACTGTCCTTTTACCAATTTCAGCACCGTTTATTGCTAAAAATGGACAGCTGTCCAATACTAGAAACTTCTGATATTTTTTACCTAAGATTCCCCATTTTAAATTCCCAATTAACCCCTTTAAGTTCTTGTTATTATACTTTTACCCCAATCTGACCTAATTTCAGTTGTTTTCTTACAAATTAGTCCCTT